ATATGATTAAGCTGGAACATTTAGATAAAAGCTTATATTGATCCTTTTACAGTCTTTTCAAAAGACCCGCACTGTCACAGGAATGTGACCTTTGTCTTTATTTGAGGATAAAAGGGGGATTGTGTGTTTTCTTGTTTCAGATATGAACAATTCTCAAGTCATTGAGTTTCAGAAGATAATCAAATCTATTCTTTTAAGGGTTAAGTTGCTGGGAGCACCACAGCTCCCTCAACTTCACAGGAAACTGAAATAATTCAAACCAGAAACAACATTTAGTTCCACAGGATTCAATCTGGAGGCTGAAAAGTTGCAACCCCTTTTTGTTGCAAACTTTAAAGGTTCCATTAAGTTGAGAGATAAAGAAGGGAGACAATATGTCAAAAGCTTTGTTGTCAGAGAAGGAAAAGAGTCATCATAAGACACCACATGTTTGTAGTAAAGCCACATTTAAATGAAATTCCTGTCTGTGCATTGTAGGGCTGTTTCTCAACTATTTGGTATTTGCAACAAACCACACTTTTTGTAAGTCTTCGATACAGGCAGAACACTACAACATTGTTTAATAAAAATGTTCTTTGCAGCCTCTTTCCTATCTCAAATCAGAGTCCTAACATCAGTTTCAAAACTGCTGAAACACAAACCAAGCACTGGATTAAATTATAGCTGAAGGCCTAAATGGAATGTGGCGGTTTGAAGCCAAATGTTCATTCTCTCCCACAAACAATAGTTAGCACTCTGTGCTCACAGCAAAGTTTCTAAATAACGTGTTCCCAGCCTTCAGGGTACATGTGTCCGAGAGCACGGCTAAATCACAGCACACACGCACTGCCCATACATCGCACAATCCTCTGTATAAACTTAAAGGTCAGAGGTCATAAACTGTGTTTGTTGGGCAGCTTGAAAGAACAGAGGAGGTTACTGGTTCATACATTAACTTCTCAGAGATCAAAGTTCCGTTCTGGTTTGACGCGTCGTGACCCAAAAACACAGAACTTGCATCGACTTTACCCTAATTGGCGGATCGTGGGGCGAATACATACGACAAAAAACTGTGGATTTAGGTTTTAATCATTCAGAGTTCTCTTAACTGGGAGAAGCATTGATATGCGAGTTCACCTCTAAAGACGAGCATGAGAACACACTATCTCTGTTAGTTAAGAATGAGTAGTGAACTGAAATGTGTGTTCAGGGCACACAAAACTCAAACACACCCGACTGCCAAGGATCTGAGTTTAATATATTTAGCTTTATCGAGGTAGCGTCTTCTATGTTGTGGCATTATGTATTACATGGGTAGGAAAACAATGTGCTTCCTGTCCTTGTAATACATAATGGGAAAATATGACATTCTATAACTTGAGAAACTAAGGCTGCGAGAGAAAATATATCACTATAAATAGAAATCGCTTTTCTTGCAAGACGTAAAATATTTTACCAAATAGCTTAAAATCCAGAACATTGTTGTTCGTGCACATTTTTCGATAGCTCAGCCTAAATTATTTTGTAGGTTCAAAAAAACCTTTCAACACAAAGAAAATCCACAATCACGCACAAAGTCAGACTGAACTCTACCGGATTGCATTTTCCAGTGTCGTGGAAATTACGTTAAGGACTGGCCGTGTCAGAACAGTGAGGATCCATTAAGGATGAGGTGTAATAAGGTCCCAAAAACTAAAAGTAGCACTAGCTCAGACAGCAGGAACAAGGTCACGCACGGTGTGAGTGCAGACAAAACAAAAGCCTGTGACTGGACTAAAAAGTGTTAGCATAAAGGGCAAATGTTGAGCTTGGAATCGTGGTTATGAATTCAGAAGCACACTGTGGGAATCTGACAGAAAACACATCAACAAGAAGCACTCTTGAGACGGACATTAATAAGGTACTAAGTATGCTTAAATGAACTATTCAAAATGCAATTCAACTTTATCAACATAAATAGATTAACCCAGTGGAACGTGGTAATGTCAGCAAACATAAAACTAGATTCGTGGTGCATGGACAGGATTATTCGAGCCAAATGAAAGTGCATTTCGCTCTTCACTTTCACTCAGGCTCTTTACAGCTGTGTCAACATGATGCTACCTCCTGCCGCTGCTGTGGGAGGTTCCGCTAGGATAGAATATGTTAGAAAAACACTACATTTCTTTCACATTTCTTAAATAATTGCCGCCTTAGACCCCTTTTTTACACTGTGCTGCAGCATAGTTTCATAGAATCAAGGAACGTATTTGAAATGATCTTTTTCTCTTTACATTTGTTCAGCTTTTAACCATAGATACTTTACTACAAAAACGTTATTTTGTAAAGAGAACGTTCTTGGCCCAAAAACTGCGGAAAAAATGAGAGGTCAATATCCTATGAAACCCTAAGCCTTTTGTTCTCTGTAGAAAGCAAAGCAGAATAGTAGATACTTCATATCATACACTGCCATTTTATAACAGTTTTATTCAATGTTAGCTTGTTTTCATTTGTATTCTCTTGGCTTTTTTAAGGACTGTTTTGAGATGAACTTAAATGTCATTATTTTATGATGCGTTTTTTATTTTTACACAAAATGTTTGCTTTGGATTTACTTTCCTGCTCTTTTTATAACTGGAGCTTACTAGAAGGGGTCTTGTGTATAGATGCTATAAAAAAAATGTAATTATAGGTATGTAAGCAAGGGGCTGCTAATGGCATGAGAGCCACTGGAGTGACCTATTGCTCTCCTTTACTAGACCTTCTTTGACCTCCCAATACCTTGAGGGAGTAGCAGCTTAACATGCTTGACATTCATGATTCTGCTGAACACACGCTAATCGCAGTGGGATTAACCTCATGAACTATAACTACATTATCATGATCACCAGCAGTCAGTGCTGTGAGGCCCGGTGGAATAGCACTTCCTTAATCTGATGCATTTCCTGTTGACATGTGACAGCAGGGTGGGTCTTAACAGGGTTGAAAACACTGGAATATCATTTGACAGGAATATTTTATATGATGGAGTAGAGGAGCCACGGTTTAATAGATGAATTGAGCATGCTCACCCTGACTTCCTGTTTACTAGCTGCATCTCTTAACTCATACACCGGTCATCACAGATATTTGCAGGATGGTGCCATGGCAGTATGAGAAAGACAATGTCCAGTGTTTCCCAGGAAGCATTTCGTGGTAACCCTAACAACAGGTCAGGACCCCAATTAGCTGACAGCCCTGAGGGGACAGTTAATGCTGAGGGGGTGAGTCAAGTCTGCATGAGGGAATAGTAAAATACAAGTGCAGCCTTTTCAATTTATTGTATTTTCAAAACATATTGTCTAATTTGGGGCAATTACCCATTAGCATGAGGTGTAAAATAATGTTCTCAGACGTGAAAAAGGCTAAAACTTTTTTCAAAAAGCTATGCTAACGTGCTACACCCGAAAACTTTGAACACAGATGCAGTGAGACAGATTTTTAAGTCTAGACATTGGAGGCAAAATATTTGCTGCGAGGGCTGCACCACATTTTGATGCAAAACACTTAAATAATGTCTGCACCCTTCCCCAAACACCCCAAAGCCTCTTGATTTGATTACAACTAAAAGGCATGCAAAGTGATTTTTGTAATAAGATTCAAGGGGCAGGAGGAAACCATGCATTCTACCAGATATCAACTCAACGTGTCAGTGCACCACAGATACAAAATACTGATGCTAGGCACATGAAAAATATTGAAAAAGTACCTTTCCAGAACGCGGAAATGTGAAGCATGGGCCAAGGGAGAACCCAATAAATATTGTGAAGGATCCAGATTCGAAAACATGCATTCATTTTCAATCATGGAAACAGCCTTGGGCGAGGACTTCTATCATCTTATTGTTTATTTTGCAATCACAACAGCTCAACTACTACTGTCTGTCCTGTGGCTACACAAAGAACTCAAGACCTTCATGATTTCTAACTTTATGCAGTGCAAAACTATAAATGTCATCCAGAAAAAGGGAGAAGCGAAACCTCTGAATCATTGTCATAAAACTATGGTGGATGTGTCTCCGCTGCCTTTAGCCTTTCAGTCTGTTACCTTGGCACTATTGCAACAAGTCTTAATATGTCAAGGTGAATTGCACATGTCCATCAATACACAAAGCCATTAGTCACAAAAAGTAGAGTAGAGCCTTTTCCTGCCTGAGTGTTTACGATCCTGCACCTGCTCCAAGATTTACTGCAAGTATTGCTTATTATGGCTTGTGAAAATAACTTGTGATCGCTATCCACTGCGCGTCCCTGAGCTCTGGGATTGGACAGCTGTTCTGCATGTACCAGAGTAAAGTTTGCTTTGAGGATGAACAAACTGTACAACCAAATGAATCTGACACACATGCATGAGTTCAAAGGTCAAAGAACAGAGACCAGATTTCTGCAACACAGAGAACCAGTGGGAAAATCAGGCAACAACTTTACAAGCTTATTTTGTGTGCAGCTTGAAAGGAAATAGGCATGTTGTGCAATATACAAGTTTTAACCTGTAAACAGATACAGTATGTATTCCTTTGTATACAGGGGAATTGTAGTCCACATTGCAGTGCCCTTCTACTTTTTTTAATTCTGGGACCTCAATGTGTTTGTTATGTAGGTGTGGCAGTATCAGTGGAGAACCTGTGATAAAACATCATGCTAATACAAAACTACATTTGAAAAAAACTCCTGCAACAACTTTTGAGTCACTTTGCTAACTACTGCTGCAAGTATTGACAAGTAGTCAGCCTACATTTCAGCTTAAAAGTAAAGCCAGCAAAGTTGACTAGGCACTTTTTGAACAGCTTTTCAATGCAAACAGTTTGGTTCAAGTAGACAGGTTAATTTAGTTCTGCTGGAACTGTTCTAGGAGTTGCAACACCTTTACCACGTTGACAGCAAGAAGCAAGTACACACGTAGCCACTCAAGAGAGGTGCATGGCTTGTGTTTAGGTCAATTGCCCTCAATGACAGCCACACACACACACACACACAGGGTACTCATTCATACTCAGTACTCACATGCAGGTGCTGTGTCGTTGACAGTAAAAGCCGGGAATCCCGCTGGCAAGTAACCGGACACCGAATGTAAACAATCGAGTATCAGAGTGTGTTTATGTGTTGCTTCCCTGCGTGCTAACCTCACAACAGACACGCTGCTGCTCGGGAGAGGAAGATATGGGAGTTTATATATACACACACACACTGGCACACACACACACACACACACACAGGTAGGCTACACACACGGAGTGACCACAGGACAGCCGAGCGGGGCGAGGAGACACACGCGCTGCCACACACACACGCAAGCACACTCTTGCTCAGTGCCTCATATGTAGTTAAGGCGCTAGGACTCTGAAGCTAGTTGCTAACTGTCTACTAGAGCTAAGTTAGCTAGCAGCTGGCACCGTCTGTCTCCTTCTCTCGGATACAGGAGTCTGCTACTGCGCCTGCCTCATGCTGCCTGTTAATCTCTCTCTCTCTCCCTCTCTCTCCATAAACTGTCATCCCTCTCTTTGATGTGAGTGACGCAACCGGTCACGCCCCCTCTGCTCTCGACCAATCACAGAGAAGGACATGTTAGCATGCAACTAGCGGCAGCATTTAAAGAGCACCAGACATCCCTGTTTAATACTAAGTGATTTAAAAGTAACAGTGTAATAATGGAAGGTAGGTTACATTTAATAACATTTCGTTCAGCTTACACGTTTATCCAAAGGGATTGCCAAAAGTCTACGGTACTAGAGTTAATGTACAAAGTTACTTTCCACACAGAGTATAATGTTATAGGACTCCAATCAATACATTTCTGGAACTGTTAGTAATATGACACAGGTGTTACTGATACCTTTATAGCTCTGTGATGTTGAGGTGTCCCAGTAAGTGTGACAGTGAGCCTGAGCCAGCATGCACAACAGCAAGACCCTGAAACCAAAGCTGCCACAGTCATAAATGTATGTTTATACATAATATATTCACACATGAGAGCGAATAGTAGACCTACAATTCTCAGGTGAGGCTGAATTAATGCTAATGTTGTTCCATATGTGTATGTGTAAATAGGAAAGAAAGGTTTGCAAACAGATAGGTCATATTAACATAAATCACATTTTCCGCTCAGTTTTTGCAGGTCTTTCGGACTAAGACACTTTTATTATTATAAATTGCATGTGTATTTTTCCTGTTATGACATTTCAAAATGTCTGCTGTAATTTCCTACTAATTATAGGGAAATAGAGGGTGTGTTCAGTTTGGAAACACACAGGCATGCAGTTTAACACAAGAAGGACATTTTACAATAAAGAATTATGATGGTTAAATGTAGGCATTTCCATCTGTTTAAATTGAAGTAAAAAGTATGGTGCAAAGTTTGAGAGAGATAAAAAAGACCTGTGGTGCAGGAAACCGCTGAAAATGACAGGATTTGATTACAGCCTCTTAAAATGGTTCTTTGTGTCTTGCTTTGTAAAGTGGACAATAGACTTCTATGCTTTTATCAGGAGCCATGCAACACACAGAGAGAAAACTGTGAGGACACCACATTAAAGCAATTCATTCACTGCTACCGTACTTTTTCAAGATTTGTAGTGTTGTGTAGTTGTATTTTTTGCACCTACAGTATACGTTTACTTGTGGCATTTTGGCAGAAGTCCAGAAACACACGCAGACACAATCACACACAGGTACACTCATACCTGACTGTTTCTGTTCTCTTATCGCTTCAATATAGCAGAGTCTGTGGGCCTTTCTCATTTCACTAATTTCCCCTCCTCGACTCCTATCCTCGACTCCTATCCTCGTGTCTCAGTCCCGCCCACAGGAGATGCGAGCGGAGGAGCCGAGGAGGGGAACCGAGGAGAGAGGAGGGGAAGCAGCAGGCGGTTAGAGAAATGAGAAATCCTCTCCATTGAGCGGTCATTTTAAAGGGCCCATGTCATGCTTTTCAGGTTATTACCCGTCCCCTTGTGTGTTATGAAGGTTGTTATGCATGTGAACGGTCTGCAGAGTCAAAAACCCTCAAAGTACACCCTGTAGCGAGTAAAACTCTAACACAGTCTATGTGTTACGCCTCATTGGAGATTTCTCATTTTCCATTGTTTGCTTCTTGGGTACTGTGACGTATGAATACCCAAATCAACAACAAATTACCAGATTGGCCCAAATGGACCAATCCGCGGAGCACCTCACACACCAGGATCCCTTGGCTAACTAACAGGGAGTCCCCATTGACTTGCATAGAGCTCCCTGAACGCTGGTAATAGACGAGTTGGGATGGCGGAGAAATGCTCTCCGTAGACCCATTCTCACAGCGTTATAAACCTTTTTCTTACTCAATATCAAGCCACACTTATTGTTTTTACTTCGGCTGTGAGTGTTTGTGTGTGCTCAGGATTAGTTTCGCTTGTTCTCGCTGTATCGCCAACCCGGAAATATGTCCGCTCCTCGCAGCAGCTGCGAGCAGCAACAAGCTCGCAACGTCCCGACCAATCAGAGCACACTGGGCTCACAGGGAGGGGGGGGCAGGAGCTCCAACAAGCCGTTTAGGACAGAGAGTAAATACACATACTATACAGAGATGCTGTATGAGAAACCAATGTGAGTTTGGAAAATTGCACAATTTAAATCTATTCTAATAGACCTCAACAATGGAAATATGATCAGTAGAAATGGCCATGACATGGGACCTTTAAAGAGACGTCCATTAATGATGACAGGAGGCACAGCCCTCTGTCTGATGGACAGAACTGTGTTCATGATGACTTATATATTTACTTTTAATTCATTCACAGTGCGGTATAATGAGACAATAACAGGCTACAGATGCGGACATACACACACATATATATATATATAGAGGTATATATATATATATTATACAATTTCAGAATCAAACAAGTATGAGAGCACTCACAGCATAATAACGTAACAATATCAGAGACTGGATATATCCCCCCCCCCCCCCTGGTCGCTACAATGAGGAAATGAAATTACGGGCCAAAAGTTTTATTTGCAAGTATTAAAAGTAAGCATAGGACACCAAACCAACTGAGACCTGTCTGTCCGCCGCATCTACGCACACACACACACACACACACACACACACACACACACACACACACACACACACACACACACACACACACACACACACACACACACACACACTGTACCACACGCACCTACAGCTCCTAAAGCATATAATATCAGGCTACAGCCATTGTGTATTTTATTATGTGAAGCACTAAATGGTTTTAGACAAATATTGACTCTTTGTTTGTAGATATCTACTAAACTAAAGCAAATAAAGAGAGTAATGTAGCCAATGACAGCTCTGCATGCATCCCCTGGATATTATTTTATTAACTGCTTTAAAATAATATCCAGGGGATGCATGCAGAGCTGTCATTGGTTGAGATAAGTCCGGCCGTGCATCACGACTCTTTTAAACATCACTGTTGCCGGAAATGCATCCGCGGAGGAGCCGTGGAGGACCCATCAGTGTATCCTCGATTATAGCTCCTCCAGCCTCCTCGGCTCTCGATCCTCGGTCCTCGATGTGCATTTAGAGAAATTAGATGTCCTTCAACATGGCGCGCCGAAAACCATTTCCGGGTCACTACCAGAGGACCGAGGATTCGAGGAGGGGAAATTAGTGAAATGAGAAAGGCCCTGTGTCAATAACATTCCTGACGTTCAAATCACACCAGAATAATGGCACCGGCAAAACATGCATGTGAAATCAGTGATTTATTCTAAGGATTAAGAAACTTAGTTGCAGTAGGATTGTTATACCTGATCAGTTGAAGTGCCCTTTAGATTGAACTTTGCTGTTATTACACCTTGCCAAGTGGGCCAACCACAGCGTGCCAGAATCACGTCACCAGTGCTACTGTATCTAGGCCACATTGCACCGAGCTCAGAAGTATTTTTATGGGGCTCCTTCCCCTTCCAACAGGCTGTAAATATTAATCATGTCTTCATTTTGTGTAGGAGGACAACATATACCCTCCAGGTGACTTTTCAACCCAAGAGGGACCGGTAAACAAAGCTTACATGACCCTCCTTTGTTGTGTAGTTATTTCGTTTTGTTACCTGTTTCTGAATCAAAATGCCTCACTTTTTAATGGTGATTAAAACAAGACATCTTAAAGGTCCCCTAGTATACTGTTTTTCATCAATATATTATAGGTCTCAGATACAAAACATGTCTCTGAAGTATTTGGCTCGAAATACCAAACAGATCATGATGTGTAGCATGCCATAAACCCCTCTGTTTCAACCTCTATGGTTTCAACCCTGTTTCAAAAGTGCTGATTCTCTGTTACTTTGGATCAGGGGTGGGGAACCTCCGGCCCCCGGGCCGTATACGGCCCGCGAGACCATTTGATACGGCCCTCGAGGTAATTTATAAACACACGCAAAAAAACATATTTAAGAAATCTAGACCGCAAAAGAACAAAAAAAGCGAGTGCGTTTTTCCTGGCCAAGGTCAGGGTCCTATAACACAACACGAGCCTAATGTGTCATCACGTGGTATATGTCTCGTCTGACAGGGGTGCAGTTATGCCGGAGAGCACAAGAACGCCGCTCCGGCATTCAAAAATTGCAGTACCCATAAGGAGCTGTACACATGCCGCAGTTTTTGCGTGGCTGTGTCTTAGTTGAAAGCCCAGTGGCGATCTGTTCATCTGTCATATTGATCATACAGTCAATAACTTCTTTGTTATTAGCATCTGGTTAGCTAGCTATGCTAACGAATATAAGAAGCTTTTTCTACAACCATTGAGGTAAAGGCACATCTTATATGATCATTATAGTTATAAAAAAATAAGAGACTAAAGTAAAAACAGGTATAAAATACTATATGACAGTAACAAAAAGTTGTTATTAATAAACAAGAATACGGTTTGAAAGGGGAGTGATTTGTAAAATACCCAAAATCTGCTTAGAGTTCTGTTTCATATGGATGTTGAGAGATGTATCCATAGATCTCTTAATTTTGCTCTCAAAGTGCACCAGATTGATGGTTTTAACTTCAACATTTAAAAAAAAATCTTCCCGGGGAGCATGCCCCCGGACCCCCCTAGAGGTTGACCTGACCTGGTGTGCAAATAAGTCACCTGAAGACACACATACCAAAGTATGCTTCAATGTGTGCGACGGGTATTAAGTACTAAGACCTTTAATCTTATGCAGATGCTTTAACAAACACAAGATATCAAGTGTCAGCAGCAGGCGTACAGTGAATAAACTTTAAGCAAAACATCATTGTCTTTTAGTTGTGGCTATTTTAGCTATTTCTGATTTACACATGGTCAACAATTTCTTTTAACTTCTGTTTATGAGGAGCTTTTTTTTTACTTGTACAACTCTAGGAAAAAAGGGAAAGGCAGCAGAATAGAGAAAGTGGGGATGGGTTGTGCTCAGTGGACTGGCAAAGAGCTGCTCACTGTGAAAGGGGGAATGCTCAGTACCTCCTCTGTTTATTCTCTGCCCAGTCCCCCCTTCCCTCACCGCATTGGTCTGATCTCCCTCTCCCCCTTTATATACGTGTTTATCCTCGCTCCCTCTCTGAAAAAAAGCCAACATTCAGGACTGATCGCCACTCCCCCTCTGATGTCCTCCTCCTCGGAACTTTCCAATCAAAGTATGAGAATCCTGAAACAACCTGTACTCCAAAACTACGCCCAACTCGTTCCCCACACCTAATTTAGGACTGTTTACTAAGCTCTATATTTAAGAGGACAGTCACTTATTGTGTGACTCATGCTCTATATAACAGAAGTGAGAAGTGTTAATAAAGAACCTGAAAAACAAATCAACGTCAGAGAGAAAAAGAGGGCAGACAAACTGTGCCTGACATGGTGGACTTTTGACAGGGGGAGGAACCGTTTGAAGGCTGTTGTAACTTTTATCAGACACACACACAAATACGGTTAACACACAATGCTCATAAAAACACACACAGATTAATTAAACATTTGAACACATACACATGGACCTGCTTGCTCAGGCTTTACTTTAAAGAAAATGATCCTATAAAGGACATGTGGCTTTTTATATACATATTAACAATCAGACTTACATACCATACACACAGATTGTTATCACTCTCACAGTGGCAGTAACACTCGTGGAGATACGGGAACAAAGATGACACACTGCCTGGAGAAATGCACTGGAGCCACCGGATAGACAAGTATGACTGAAGTTTCATTACAGGTAAATGTAGCAGAGAAGAAAGACAGTTTACAGATTCTATACATAAGCATTAGCTAAATAACGTGGTATATTTTGGATATTCCTTGTTTGTTTTGGTCCTTACAAATAATGCTTAAATGCATTTTTGTTTATATGCCTAATTTTAGATGAACCCCAATCTGAATTCAGCAGTCCTACTTTCACTGACTGCTTCTTTTCCTGGCATCCTGCAGCACACAGTCACAAAAACACACAGTAGTTAACCATCAACAGGTAGATTCTGGGCTCAGACAGCTGTAAGAGAGGAGATGGTCTACCAGGGTCAATATTAGCCCATTATGGTGTTATATGAAAAACCTTTCAACAAGCTGTGTGTTCTCAAATGCAGGGTTCTTACACCTTTTCCAAAGTCAAATTCAAGCACTTTACAAGCATTTTCAAGGTGCATTTTCAAGCTTTTCAAGCATCTTACAGCTGTTGTAAATTACATATTTATATACACATACTTATACTCAAATGATTATTTCCCTACCTTACATTAAATCAGATGTTCTTTATGCTATAAACAACCAAATGTGTGTTTCATAATAGCATTCTACATGAGGATGAAAAATTAAAAATGTTAGAAAAGAAAACTAAGTTTAATATTTCAAAATGAGTGACCCATCTGTACGTAGACTGGGCATCCCATATAACCTGGCTGAGCCAATATAAAACAATCAGCCAAATAACTTTTCAATACATTATTGATTACTATTTTTGAGGTACTTTTAGGTTGGCAGTAAACATAAGTCAGAGGTAAATGGTGTACTTTTACTCCACTACATGTATTTAATACCTTTAGTTACTTTACAGATGTGGATGAATGATGTGAAATATAATCAAGTGTTAAATCAGACTTTAGTTCCACCTGGAGTAAATTCACAAGCTACTCTGCAGTATACAAAGTCATTCAAACTAGCTGCACCTTTACCAGCTTTGAGAACACTTTAATGATCAATCATTATAAAACATATCATATACAATTATTAGGGATGCTCCGATCGCCAATTTTGGGGCCGATCGCCGGAATCAGTATCGGCCGATACCGATCGCCGATCCGATCGAGTGGGCGGGGCCTATGGGGATCTTCCATTTAAAGTGATGTTTAAAACTCAGTTAATGGGGCTCATTCACTGGTGCTTCCACAAACCAACCAACCAACCAACATAATTATTACATTCAAATGAAGTACATTATTCAAGTTTACATTAACTTGGGATAATAACACGGGAGAAATTAGCGGAAGCGCTCTCTTTTCCTCTCTCCCCGTCTCTCTCCCTCCTGACAGCCCGTCAGTATCTCCTGCAGCTCACTGATCCAGTAATGAGTGACCCGACAGTGAAGAATACATATATTTATAACTAGTTTAGCTTGTTCCAGAGGTAGATAAAATAGCTAAGTGTGTTAGGTCTAACTCTTAATGTGTGTTCTGCTCCGCTCACCGGTCCGTCACAGCGGGTGGAGCTGCAGGATTTCTGCTTCACACACACGGTGCATACCGCTATTTTATTGTCATTTTCGGACACTTAAAATACTGCCAGACTAGTGAAGCTATTTTGGCGAGCTTGTTTTGCCGCGCACAGAGAAAAGTGTCATGTATTTTACATGCAACGATAGCCTAATCTAAAATGCTCTACTCTGGCGTACCTTTCGTGTGGTGTGTGGCTCGTCAGCGCAGACTCTCGCATCGTTATTGTTGCACACTTTGCAGGAGGCTACTCTTGGGCTTCGCTTGACCCTCGTCTTAGCCATGGCTTGTATTTGTCTTCTGCTAGCCAACGCTCGTTGAAACGGCAACCTCCTGGCATACTGTCATCTATCACTCTCATCAGAATGCCCAGGTCACACACGTAACAAAAACACTTGCCGGGAAGGCCGGAGCGGAGCTGTTTTATGTAAAAGCGAAGCAATTAAGCGCGCTCCGACTTCTTTATTTTCTTTTAATCTAAAAAGCGAAGTAAAGCATTTACAATTTCAAGCACTTTGTCCCAAATTCAAGCACCATTCCCAAAATTCAAGCACTTTTCAAACCTTGAAAACACCTCGTACAATTTCAAGCAGTTTCAAGGATTTCCAGCACCCGTACGCACCCTGCAAATGGCTGTGCCAGCTATGTGTGTGTGTTCATGTATATCTATCTTTGTGAGGACCACAAATGTCAGACTTCAAGAGCGAGGAAATTATGGAAAGTGAGGACAATCTGTCTACTCAATTCTGCAAATATCTGTGTTACAGAAATAAAGGAACATTACGCTTAACATTAGATGAAAATCAATAACACTCTGTTAAATACGAAGCTTCAGGGGGGAAGACAGTGAGCATGGAACCAACACTGGAAACGTGGAGAAACAGATACAACCTTTAAAATGTACAATAGAACAAGTTTAATATTGTTTGTTCAATCAAAAAATACCACAAGGTTACAAATATTATTCAAATGCTGAATAAACATCCAAGACATGTTAGCATTTTAGATTCACCATTTACAACTAAAAAATACAGACAATAGAAGGGCATTTGGAGAGCACAGAACATCCTGATGGCCAAATGCTTTACTTTACTGTGTTGACAAAAGTAATGTGTCTATCCGACTCTTGATCCGATTCCAAATTCTAATGGGTTCTCCTTTGGCCCAAGCTTAACCCTTTTACCATTTCCGAGGGAACAGGAAGTGTTCGGGGTTTAGGACTCATCCCTGGACAAAAAGTTCGATATAAAATTCAGTTTGCATTAAAAACAGTAATGCTAAGTGTCAGTCATGCTTTTAATGCCAGTTGACTGTCTCTTTCCCCCCCACCATCCCACCTCCATCTTTCTCTTCTGTGTTGCAGTAGAAGACAGTGGGGTCGGGGTCAAAAGAGCCCCATGATTGGTGGAAAGGTAAAAGGGTGGGCGGCTCTCTTTGATGAGAGTCTGTATTTGTGTCTACCTGAGAGTTTGAAGCGGCGATGTTTCTGTATGTTACCACGGCGCCAGGATCAAGGACGCTGCCGTTGCTAGGAGTGATGCTGCTGGTTACAGAGTTGAGGACAGTGTCTGTATTGCTGCTTCCAGAGGAGGAAAAGGTCAGCGCTGCAGCCTGGGGGGGGAGCAGATTACCGCCCAGGGTGGAGATGAGGTTTGTGGGGCGGCTGAGAGCCAGACGCTGGGTGAAGAGCTGTTGCTGCAGCCGCCGGTCGCTCCAATCCTCCTGAGGCTGCCGGTGGATCTTCATGTGAGCGTTACGGGACTTTATTTTGTAGAACATTCTTTGGCGGAGAGAGAGGAAAAACGGGTTGGAAAAGAAGAAATCAAGAAAATATAAACCATGTGTTTGCATGAGAATGTTTATCCATTATAACTGGTTCTACTTACTTGCCACACAGCTTGCATGGGAAGAAGCTGCTCAGTGGGGGGGCAGGAACCGCCTGCTCTGGTCCAAACTGTGCTACCATTGGTGGACGGACGGGGGTTATCTATGAACACAGGACCCATTTTAAGCAACTGTGCTATAATTGACTGGCTGGGCTGCATTAGACACCACAAACAACATTATTTGATTCAACTGTTTGCACAAGAATCCAAATACTTTCTGTTGGGGAAATATTTTCCAAGGCCCATAACTTTGACCCAGTTTATCAGTTCATACTGTCCTGACTGAGCACACGCACCTGTAACCTTGGCTGCTGTGCTCTCAGTGTTTGGTCTCCCTGTTCCTGCCTGTTGGCGTCGGCTGATAGAGGTGTTATGATTCTATCTTGTTATGCACAATGTTGATTATTCTCTCTGAACTAGCTAAATACACGGGTCTGGGGTAGAGTTCTTCAGAATTGACGTGGCAACTCTACCGTGAAGTCAGAACCTCTGACTCTTTGACTTGTTTTGTGAATTCTCCGGCCGAAGCTCCAAATAAACCCATCAGTGTTTGCCATCAAAGCTCCAGCTCTCCATCGTGTCTCCTTTTGAGTCGGTGACTCCTCCTGCATTGCTACACAGAAGTTTCCCCCACACTTTCCTATGCTACTCAACCTGCTCAACACTATTTGTTTATATTCTATGAGTCCTATTGGTCAATGCAGGACAGTGGAGCCCACAGGGTGTCATGGGAATTTGGATGGTTACAATATCTGATTTTCACCAGATTATTGCAAAAATAATTCACAATGACAATGTTATTGTGATATCTATAGATCTGTAGACCATTGAATTACACTCGAATTTCAGTGTTGGGATGTGGGGAGGGACTGTGGAATCATAACGGCACTTCGTTGCACAAAAGGTTAACATTACAATAATGACAGGGGAAAGGGCAACAAAAATCCACAAGGCCTTAAGGCCCCGGCCCCACGGGAACGCATAGGATTAACGCAAACGCAATCGCCAAAAAGCTTCCGCCCACACGCAATATACACCGGATAGTGTCTTCCCACACGAGACAGCTCCGTTTAGATCCAACCGCTGGAAAAGCTGCAGTACATATGCCGAGCCTGTACGTGGCGCTGTAACTTCCTCCACAAAAGCAGCAACTTCCTCCACAAAAGCAGCAACTTCCTCCACAAAAGCAGCAACTTCCTCCACAAAAGCAGCGAAGAAGAATGGTTGTCATGGCTGCACTTCTGTTTATTCTCCGCGGTGGGGGCCGAGGGATCCGGGCAGAGTTTTAAAGTTTAAATCTTCCGGACAAAATTATAAAAGTGCCGGTCAAAGGTCTTCTTTGTTATTTATTGAGCTTTAAAACAAATGAATAACGACTCGATATAATGATATATAATAATAAAATACACGGAGCCTGTCTCTTTTTCCTCTCTTCTGACAGCGTCAGTGTCTGTCTCATGCAGCAGCTGATCCTGTAATGAGTGACCCGACAGTAAAAATAAACATATTTATAACTAGTTGAGATAGTTTGAGAGGTAATTAAAATAGCTAAGGGTGATGATCTGACTTGAAGTGTGTGTTTTGCTCCCGCTGCATCACAGCGGCAGGAGCTGCGTGTCTCCGTCCTGTCAGATTAGACTTCACTCGCGTTTATGTCCATATCGAGATAAAGATAAATAATCTGAATTCAGTGTGCAGTGTACTTTTGCGGGGGTGAGTAGCAGAGGCGGGGAGAGGCGGGGCTATTGCGTCGTCATTATCAGAAAAGGATGACCGTATAGGCTACCACACGGCCCCGTTGGACCCCCCAGAGCGCTCCGTTCCCAGATCTATCCACCTTTGGACCCGTTGTCGTTTGCAGGGTCCGTTTCTATCGTTCCGTTACGGCGTCATGTAGCTTAAAGGGCTATACGCAAGAGAAATATGCGGATACAACCCGTTTTCGTTCCCGTGGGGCCTGGGCCTAAATCTACTAACTCAATATAACCATATGTGTAAATAACAAAGTTATTGTCAACAACGGTTTGACCTAGGATAACAAAAGACAAAACAATAAGGAGATAGTGAGAACAAAAGCAAACGGCAGCTATTAAAACACAAACCAAAAGGGTCAATTTGAAAAGAGGCAAACATATTTGAACTACATTCAGAATTCCTTTTTGTGTTTCTTACACTTTTCTGCTGCTCCATCACTGCTTCTCGGATCTCCTCCTCTCTCTGTTTCTTCTGCTTGTCCTGGAGCTTCTTGCTCAGGTAGTAAAATGCAACACACTGGCTCAGGGTTTTAGTCCTCATCTGCAACACAAACACACCATAAACTGATCCTCCTTTTGCTGAGTATTTCCTGACCATATGGATCACTGTGTGTTGTTTCCCAGAACTAGCCTTTTTAAATGATGTGTGTACTAGGTATGCACAGAGTTATCCTTTTAGGGTACGACAAATTAGAAAAGGAAAACATTGAGGAGGTAACCATAAAAGAATGCAGCAGAAGCACATGCAAAACAACTGTACCATTTTCCTTATGAGTGAAAAATCTTTCCCATAAGTCTGCAGAGTTGCACCGAAGAGACTCTTTTCGCTGTCTGTCCAACAATCACTACCTGCAGACAGAGAAGACGGGTGGAAGCAGTTTAGTTCAGTAAAAGTACAACAATACTCAGTAAAATGATTAAACACTACAATTAATAAGTCCTGCATTCAAACCCACGTATTATCAGCAAATACATTAAGGTAAAGTAAAAGTGTCTTTTTGCTGGAAGATGTTACCTTTTACTATTATATATGTTTTTTTTACTATTACTGCTGTTGCATTTTAAAACTGTTGGTATGAAGGTTGCGCTAATTCTAACTATTATATAGGCTGTTGTAAGTTTAATCTGCAGCAATGCATTATATAAAAAAAAAAATCCGGAATTTAACAGAGGACAGTACAGAACTTAAGTAAGTATTAGTACATTCTACTACTTGTTGGACTTCATTATGTGAGCTTTAGAGAGACACACAGCCTGGAGACATTCAGGGAGTTGAAAGCTGGACCGGGGGGGGGGGGGGGGTCCAGAGACGTACCAGGGAGTTCAGACATCCTAAATGTTGTCAGGCTGTTGCCAGTGGGCCAAAAACTGTTAGCGGTACCCTGTCTACAGAAACACACCACCCTGAGGTAACACTAGTGTGCAGAACAATGTCTACTCTGTGCTTTAAAGGGTGCCTGGTGGATTTCAATGCGTGGAACAAAGAGGGAGAGGGATAGAGTTTGTGAAAGTGGATGGATTTGGTTTCTACAAAGGCGACTATTGTACATACAGTGGGAATTGTTACCCATGTTCTGACTCACATTCTGACTGGCAGACAACTATTTTCTGTTATGAAACACTAAACACATTTTAGTTATTTTTATTTCTCCACCTATTTCTGTCCTGCAGTTGTGGTTGAATATGTAAAGTGGAGTTAACTCAGGTTAAATCAAATATATATATTTGTCAGCGCCAAAGAGTCTGATCATAAGGGTGATTATGTATGCACTATCCTATTAACGGCTTTAATTGAGCATTATGGTTTTGGACATAAATCCTTACTTATATTGTACAGAAGTTAGTTTGTAACTGTACTCATTTTCCATGTATTATAAATAAAGTTGTTTTAAAAAACATTGATATCCTTATGTAAGCTTAGTGGGATTCTCTTTGCACCACCCTCTTATCCCAACTCTTATTGGTGTAAGACCTAGGATGTATTTCTTTGTCTTATTCGACTGCAGCCTTAGGGTGATGCAAAGGTCAAAGGTTACCAGAGTAGTGGTAGTCTCCTGCAGGCGAGGGCTGTGAGAACAGCAGCATCTCCAGAGCGGCCTGCAGGAGAGAGGGATGAAGGAGGAGAACAGAAGCATGAGGCATGCAATGGCTCTGAAGAGAGTTAACTAGACATCAATGAGTTAGTGAGAAAGAAAATAGTAAGAAATGACAATAAGTAGATGAGTAAAGATGCATGGGAGTACGACACAAAGGATGGAGGCATGATTAAAATGATGGGAATAATTAGTGAAGAATTAAGAAAGAAAGACAGTATTTATATTTCCTCAGTGCTTACCATTGTGTTCCCCTGACAGCAGTGCAGACAGTGCAGGGCCAGTTCTGTGTTACTGCCCCCTCCTGGCACACAGCTGGAACTGCACATGGACAACAGCTTCTCCACTGTACACACACACACACACACACACACACACACACACACACACACACACACACACACACACACACACACACACACCACACACACACACACCACACACACACACACACACACACACACACACACACACACACACACACACACACACACACACACACCACACACACACACACACACACACACACACACACACACACACACCACACACATCACACACACCACACACACACACACACACACACACACACACACACACACACACCACACACACACACACCACACACACACACACCACACACACACACACACACACACACACACAGCACACACACACACCACACACACACACACACACACACACACACACACACACACACACACACACACACACACCACCAAAAAACGTTTTCAGCATAGAGTATAGCGGAAAATGGACTCATTTCAAAACATTAATTGAGGATATGATTATCTTAGCTTTGACCATTGAATAAATCAATGAGAATTGATTGGCATTTCCTGCTAAAAAATGACTCCAAAGCTGGTTATTACATGTTTGGGTTGTTAAGCTGTATTTCAGTTGGCTACTTACCTTGGTCTTGTAAATTGGTATTCTCCTCCAGCATATCCCATGGTTTCCAGAGCAACTGTTCCCTAGGCGATTCCTCTTCTGGACACCACACCCTTGACCCTTCCCCATCCACAGAGCATATAGGAAGCTCTGCCTGGAAATCATGACCCACATTGACATACCTGGAGAGAAAAAAAGATGATCTAAACATTAATAAACTTATCTAAATCTACAAAAAAATACAAATTAAATACAATAAATGTTTTACTTACAGTGACACACTTTCATCTTCCTCATCTGGACATGCTGTTTCCTCCACTCGGTGATTGAGAGATGAGATGGAGGAGTAGAGACCCGTTCCTCTACGCACTGGATTGAGGAGCGGTTGAGGAGTGTACCGGCCTCGCCTATGACCTCTGCTGGAGTGAAGGACGCTGGGAAATGGAGTTCCAGTGTGGATTGGAGAGACTTGTTGCTGTAAGAACAAAAGGGAAAGTCATTTCAGAGTTATCCTTGTTCTCTTTTGATTAATGCACGGTCAAAACAAAAGCCAGAAAGAAAACTTGAGCAACTGAAGTTCTAAAAGCTGAAGAATTAAGACGACCTAACCTTTTTTTGAATCAAGTCCCGAAAAATGGATTATCGACCACTTTGCCATTTAATTTATGCCCATCAAATGTTCAAAGACCAACATTTATGACAGTATTACCTGGCTTAGACATTATCACAGTGTTACCATTCCACCTGAAAATGGGTGAATAAAAAGCCACCATGTTCCCCCACAACTTGGCAACCCAGTTATCTAAAATGTTGACTTAAGCTGAACGTCAATGCATGAACACAAACCTGCTATTGCTCTTCTAGTCTTAAGAGGAAATAAAGAAACTTATTCTCCAAAAATGTCTGTTTATTTTAATTTGCTCGGCGTACTGTACCTGTAGCTGTGCTTGTTTAAGATTGGCTTCTTCTCTCTTCACTTTCTGGGTCACAATGTAAGGGGCTTTCTTTTCTGCTGCCTCATAACGTTGGTCTGTGAGGTGAGGTGGAAGAGAGGGAAGGTGGAAGGCGGAATAGAGGGGTGGAGCGCTGGAGGGACCGAGGGCTCTGGATGGATGAATGGATGAAGGATGGGAGGTGGAGGAGAGGAACGGTGATTCTGGAGACTGAACATGGGAGGCTGGAAAAATGAGAGGGGAGGAGGAGTGGATGTCAATGCTGCATGATAAACTGCTGGATCATTTTGGGTGTGGCAGAATACATCACTGTCAATCAATTCTTGTAAAAAAATACACATTCAAAAGCAAGCATTCAGTGTTATGGGCTTAAAGGTGATTATCGAATTAACATGAAATGAAAATAAAAAAATGTCTGTTAATAAGAAAAGTGAAAACGTAATTTGCATACGAGAAATGTCACAAGCTCGCCTACGAAAACCCACATGTACCGTAAACATACATGTGGGTTTTACCTGTGTTTTTTTGTAAGTGAGGGTAATAAAGTTCATTTAAATCAATTCATGTTTTAGTACGTTTTCTATTTCACTTATGACCAGGCTTGGGGGGTAACCGATTAAACGGGAATACAAATTAGGATACAAAATAAAGTTTACTGTATTCCTTTTTTTAAACAACATATCTGGGTTTCTCTTTTTTAAGGTCATATTATTGTGTTGTCTTACAGAATACACTTGCACAAGAACAAATATCTTCAGTTCAGTTTTTGCATATTTGATATTTAGGTAATCAGGTTGCGTTACTTAATTATGTGATACTTTAATTAGGTCACTGTTTACTTTTTTTAACAGGTATTTAATATTGTTACGGGATACATTTTTCACTCTCAACCCTTGGTATCACAGGCTCTGGATAAACCCAATGTTATCCCTACTATCATACTTTTATTTACAAAAATGTGTACACAATGTCTTACCTAGGATGTTGCCGTAGTCACTGCCATGAGAAGGTCTCAGGTTGCCCTCGGTGATGCCGGGGTCACCTGATGTATGTGTAAAAGTGTGTGACATCACTGGAAACTTCCATATCATCCCAGAGGAGTGGATAGAGGGGAGAGACTGAAGGTGCGAAGGGAAAAACTGTAGAGAATCCCCCCCCTGAGACACCGAATGTCCGGACACATCTAACCCACCGGGGGAGTCCATTTTGGAGGGTGAGTGGGAAGGAGGAGGCAGAGGCGTGGGAGGGGGACTGAGAACTGAAGACATGATGTGAGATGATGTGGGAGGAGAGGGGAAGGAGGGGTGGGCGGGTGAGGAAGAGGTGCAGGGCGGCAGGTAGGAGTCAAAAGCACAGCTGTGCCTCGGGTTATATCCGCGGCTTTCTCCTCTCCCTACTCCATATTCCCAAAAGGAATCTCCACAGGGGATCATGGGAAATATTCTCTTGCGCTGGGAGAGGAAGGCCTCGGAGAAAGAGTCCAGTTTCTGAGTGTACTGCGTCAGGCATCCTGAGTTCAAAGTGTTTTGGTCTGCTGCTCCGCTCCACCTGCCTTCCCCGGGCTGACTCGACGGAGAGACACTCACCCAGGGTCCCTCACCCTCTGCCCCCTGAAGCTGGTCCTCCCCTGAGCCACAGCTGGACCCATAATCCTCCTCTCTTCCTAGATAATGATCACCAACTCTTGAACAGTCAACGCTGCTGTCACTGAAGCTCCCCGCTGCAGTTCTGTTGTAGGAAGTAGTTTGTTTTGTGAAGTGGCTACCGTTAGCTTCTCTGTTGTAAACGGCTTCGCCTTTAGCTTCACATCTAACATGATTATAACAGTTTGCTCTGAGTTTACGTCTCGCTCCTTCCTCGCTGGTGTAAAAAACATCATTACTGTAACAATCCGCTTTTTGATACAAATCATCTGCAGCGTTTTCACAACTCTCCCCGTTCTCCCAAACTTCCTCTTTTTTCACGCCATACCAAGTGTCAGAAAAATGGCCGCCTAACCCGCTTTCTCCGCCTCCCAAGTTAGCATCTCCATCCAAGCAGCTACTACTTGTGTTGAGGAAGCCTCTGTCTCCACCACTGCTCCCTCTCCTTCCCCCTGAGGAGGTGTTAGAAGCCAGTAAGATATTAGAGGATTCTTCCCCTCCCCTTCCATACTGCTCCAGAGGGTCCAGGGCAGGCTGAGAGGACGGGTATCCCACTTCGGGGCTTTGATGGCCGGGCAGCGTGAGGTGAAAGGATGGGTGGTGGCGATGGTGGTTGAGGTCGGCGAAGGATTGGGTGGATGAAGAGTCATCCATGATGGATCACTACGTGTAGCTAGAGTGCCTACAGGAGACGGACAGAAGGTTGAGTACATTTAAAACAGAATTAAGTATAGTGTGACTCGTCGGCATGAAATTCATGCATTACATTTCAATATTTTAGGATTCAGTGCTTTCACATTCAATAGCTCACATTTAAGACGCTTCCGAGATACTGCGACAAACACCAGGATTAACAAATTGTAGAAAACTACTGTAAACGCTATTAGTTAGCATTTACGGCAGATAACTCGCAACTGCACTTTTCCTGTACAACCTTCATTGTATGCTTGCTTCCTAAATTGGCATTTCAAACTTTGAGAACCTCTGATACAAAAATACGTTTTTTCACAACAATTAGAGCGAATACTGCAAATTCTGTAACCCATCAAATTCCAACCTAATTAGAAGTTTTCACTCGTTTCATGTCCTGTTCATTGACCAGGCAATGCAGGCAGCAGGTTTAAAGTAATGGCGCCTTTAAAAAGATTATCTAAATCGAGCCCAGATAAGCCGTTTTTCGCATGCGTATTCCGGCAGAGCATGTGCGCTTACCTCGATTTATGCCGTTTGATTTAGTTTGTCAGAATAAACAGATTAAAAGACAAGTGTCAGCGTATCACTCGGACTGCAACATAGAAGAAAAACTCGCCAAAAAGAGAAAGAGAAAGCTTTTCTGTTAGCAATGCTACGCTGAACTAGGCCTTTTGAAAACCATTTTATTTCCTGTTAATACTTCTATTGACTTGTTAAAAGGTACCGAATCCTCTTGAAGTTTTGTTGGTTTTTCTTTCTCTCTTTCTTGAAACCACATTCAAATCTAAATAGGACAGTGAGTGAGTGAGTCAGAAAGAGAAAGAGCGAAGGCAGATGAGATGAAGAGACAAAAACACTGTATAGGATTTCAGGCTTGTTTTGTTTTTTACCAGTCTTTGCCGCTTAATTTCCTTTTCACATAAGTTCCTCCACTGTTGTTCATGTTCTCGGCTCCCGGTTGCTCTTCTGATTGTCGTCATGGTACTCTGAACTTACTTTGCTTCGTCTTGAGAGTTTGTGTGATTATTTCCCCCTTCAGATTTTCTTCCTCTCACATAGTCCTTCCTATCTCTCTCTCTCTCTCTCTCTCACACACGCACATAGTCTATCACAGAAGCAAAATGTAACACACACACATTTACACATAGTTTCTCACTGAAACACACACACACACTTGCAGGTGTCAAAGGGGACATGCAAGTAGTGATGTTGCCTATCTGCCTATTCGTCGTCGTCGTGGTAACCACATCCTGAGGAAACAAACGCTGACGGATCTCCCTCCTCTCAGCTATCTTTATCTTTCTGCCCCCCTCCTCCATCTCTCTGTCTCTCTTTCCGTCTCTTTGCCCCGTCCTTATCTCTCTCTCCGTCTCTTATTCTCTCTTTCTTTCTCACCCTGCCACCTATTTGTTTTCTCTCTAAAGTCTTTAACCGGCTTTTTATCTGTCGTCTCATCTCAGTCTTTGTGCTTTGTGGTATCGTCTAGGTTCTTTTTTAGTGTCCCACTTGTGGCGCAAATGCAGTTGAATTATTGAAATAAAGAAAAAGATATTTACACCGATGTTGAGGTACTAAAACACTTGTACAAAATGCATTTCATCCTAAAAACGTTACAATCAGCAGTTAAAGTAAATGTACTTTTGATAGCTTTCACATATATACATGTATCATAGTGGCTGTATGTATAAAGTGCTACTTTGGTTGACCTTTGTAGAGTTTCGTGACTGCATAATCTGTCATAAAGGTGTGTGTATGTGCGAAAAATCCATGTATAGCCGTCTTGCAGTCCTCTACATGAGTGCTGAATGTTCGGCTACATGCAGTGTGTGTGTGTGCGTGTGTGTGTGCGTGTGTGTATGCGTGCGTGTGTGTGTGCGTGTGTGTGTGTGAATGTGTGTACATGTGTGTGCAGAAGTGTTAGCGTGGATGTTTACCAGATCAAGATTCTCCGGCTGAGTCAGCTGACAGGAAGTGAGAGAGAATGAAACAGGAAGGAAGACGGCGGCAAACGATGAGGTTCAGGGAACCCTCTAAACACCCTGCAGCCCCACCTTCTCACCATCCCACTCACACACACACACACACCTTTAATGTGCCCATAAGCCGTTTTCTACCTTTGTTGTCATATATGGTTTTAAAACACCTACGCATGCACAAGGAACCTCAAACACTCGCAACTTCAATAACACCCCCAACACTACACTCACACACACACATGTCTGTTGGGTACAGACCAGACTAGGTTTAATTAAAAGTTTGAATAGCAAATCTAAAAAGATGTTGCTGTGAAAAAAGTAAAAACTCAGTAAAAACTAATCCACATAAAAGGTGAATGAATATTTGGAGAATTTTACTTGCATTTTTGCTGGTAATCTTGGTGAAACTAGGTCCTTTCATACGTTGTTGATGGGTAGCTAAATGCTAAAGCAATTCAGACTTTTTTATAGTATCTGTTATCAGATGAAATGATTGAAGAAAGCAGTAAAAAGTACAGTTTTCCCCTGAAGTGTAGGGGAGAGATGTCTAATAGGAAAACTTAATTAAGTATCACTGGTGTTATAATATAAATATGATAAACTATAAATGTACAGAATAGAATCTCCCCAAAATGTTCAAGAAAACCACTTAAAGTAAATGCACTTTTTCTAAATCTGGAAAAACGGTGTGAATATCGGAAATGGCAGCAATCTATATAAATAACTGCATCATCGGCAAACATACTGTAACTTTCAGATAACAGTTCATATCTCCAAAATGGTTATTGAACATGAATTTTCCCAGAACAATCTCCAATTTAGTTGATACTGAACTTGTCATTCAGTCATGGGCTTTATCAAATTTGCAACAAGTGATAACATTTCATTCATCAAAAAACCTTAAAGTTGTGAGTGTTTGTGAAAAATGCAATCTCAAGCAGTGCTCACAATTTGAGTGTGAGATGGACCTGATTGCATTCAAACGTGTTCAAATCCTAAATATGTTCACGTTCAATTTAGCTGTAATTCAAATACAATATAACAGATAATTGATTGGTATAAATCACAGTTACGCAGAACATGGAGGAAGCTTTATTATAGTAGTTTGCTCTATAGTCCAACTAGAAACGTTTCAAAATGTCGATGTGTGTGTATGTGTTTCTGCAAGTGTGTTGGTGTATGTGTGTAGGTGATCATGTAAATGCTGAGGTCAGTCATACAGTGTGTACTTTTCATAGGCGGAAACCTCAGCATTAACATGCATACTACATAATAATGTGGTGACTTCACTGACACAATAACCTCAATTGGCAATAATAAAAGTCATGTTTGACAGCAAATAGTGTCAGATGACCTGGTGATATTTCATGAAAATATTTTAAACAGAAGGATCTATGAAATTCCCCAAAATGTCTATCAATACAAAAGTAAATGTTGGTGTCGATGTCATCTTTACATTGCTGTGATAAGACTCAAGAACCGGGAAGATGATATTTATCTCCTTACACTTGCAGCAAATCAGCGTGCAATGTGAACTGAAAGAAAATGAACACTGAGTATTTCCGAGACTCTTAAAAGTTGTTCATGCTCACCAACATGGCGATCACTTGTTAAAACAAAAAATCCTATTTTGGGGCAGTTTGAATTCATGTCAGCACAATTGAATCACTTATTTAAAGATGAAATGATGCTCTTGATACAATGAATACATAAAAGACGAAATAAAGCCTTCAAATGCAAGTTTGACGCCAACTAAGGTGTCCTTAACTAAAGTGCTTTTTGGTTCATATTTTACACTGTTTGCTGTGATTCTGACATGCTCTGCTAATGGACTTATGGACGTAATGGTCTCCTGTGTATACGCATTTGTGTGTGTGCATGCACCTAACCTTGAGAAAACAGCCGAATGAGACAAACGTGTGAATGAAAGGATGTGAGAGGACGGGAGTCGGGTGCGGAGGAGTTTGCACGGGGGAGACGCTTCTCTAGTTTTCTCTCAAATTCACCTAAAAAACATGCGGGAGCAGAGGAGGGGGAACGAGAGATGCACTTCTGGACTTTTTTTTTCTCAGAGAAGTCTCTCTGTGTGTCTTCCGTCACTGAGAAAAGAAGTGACGACTGGCGGGGAGAAATCTACCGAATGGATGGGGGACAAATCAAACCACCAAATAGCATAAATCATTGTGAATCAGAAAACATGAAACAAGGCTCTTTTTGCACAAGCCGTGTCAAATGTCAGCTCATAAAAGCAATCGATAGTCATTCCCGCTTGATAACCTTGTTACAAATCGACGATGTTTCATGCTAACGCTGAATGTGTTGGATATGTTTCAACAGTTTGAGATTTTTGAATGTTCAAATGAGATTGAGAGAAAGCACGACGGTTTATATGAAATACGGAGCACACAGAGGTGAAACTGCTATCAAACTGTTCACAGGTGAAATAGATTATTTTATAAAGTGAGCATTTTCCTTTGAAGCATCTTGAAATAAGACGGAGATCTCAAAATGATGTGAACAACTTTCGAAAAAAGGTAATGAAGGTAAATAATGTCTAGTCACATTCTATACAATAATAGCTGGATAGATGATGGAAAGGTGTATGTGTCTGAATCTGAATCGCACATTCACTGAAATTACGTTTGTGCTTTGAAATGATCATTTCTGTGTCTTATCCATGCATTCTTTTTTTTGTATTTGGAATTAATAATCTGTATTTCCGTTTTACTCTCATGCAAACCTAAGCAAAGATCAAATGTATGCAGAGAAAGCTTCTGGAAAATTCTAAAACAGCTTGTTATTTGATTAATTTTAACAAAGAAATAATGAGATATTTATCACTTTGTTTTATTTGAATGCATTTGATGCTCACAAACCCATTAATGCGGACCTGAAAATCACATAATGTCTTGATAAAGAGCTTTAAAACAAGATCATAGGCCCCGAGAGTTTTTAGAGACCCCGCTGCGCACACATAGGGGTCTTTAGAAATGTGTAGCATTGCAATCACATTTCTAAAGCCCGCTTTATATTATTATCTATGATATTACGATATAGTTTTAATTTGCAGCAAATGCACTACTAAACATGAGTTGCCAGTAACATTATTAATAGAGTATACAGTGCCAATACATTTGACAGTTTTGTATATTCTATAAAAAATATATGAATCTCAGATTATTCATTTTCTAAATAAAAATGATGTGATTAAAGTCGCAACACATTATCGTCATTTTGGTTTGTATCAAAACAATGTAATTTAATTATAATCTTTAAACATAAACCTACGGTCTTGGATACTGTGAAAATATAATGAACCTGGAGATTAACATAACGCTTAACATTGTTACATACCACTAAGAAATACAATTCAAAGTCATTTTCCTGGAGCTTAGGTTTTAAAGGCCGCCATGCCGTCCTTTAACTGATAAATTATCAAACAATTTGGACATCTTTGCTATAATATTTATTTGTTTTTGTGCTAGATTAAAACGGCCAAAGTGCTTAATCCTTCTAAAGAGTTAATCCTTCGAAAGGCACTGCAATAAACGCAGCCAATTATGTTATGAAGGATTTGTTTTGTTTGTTTATAGCGTATGATGTATGATTATCAGCCTAACAATGCTACAATGGAGTTATTAAGAAAATATGACAAAGTCAAATAGAAAATATATAACTGTCTAAACTGTTACATGCATCATTCTACAGCCTATAATCAGACTTATTTAACTAAATTAATCCAAATTAAGTGCAGATTTCACAATACAATCCCTTTACTTCATTTTCTTAACACTGGTGCGGCCGAATGACTAAAAGATTGCATATACATTTGAAATCCGATGAAGTGTTTTATTCAATGTGTGACAAGCAATTTTGCACACTCTTTGCAACAAACGCTCCATAGAGATAAAGGAACTTTGTAGGCTCCTCCGCAGCGATGATACCAAATCAGGAGTTCAATATTTGAACATTTGGAAAGCCCTGACTGTTGGAGTTTCTGCCTCAGAAGCTCAGCAGTGATCGAGCCGCAGGTTTCCATGAGTGAGAAGGGAGACACTGATCCTTCACCAGAAATAATGTCATATGACGTCTGAGGAAGTGTATATCAGAAGGCATGTGGGAAACCAAGTGGAACAAGATCTTGTAGCCTTATGGCACAAAAATAAAAACACTGCAAACCAGCAGAAATACACCATCTCCACCCTGAAGCATGGTGTAGCAGAATTATGCTGCAGGGATACTTCTCCACAGAAA